CACAAATGGCCTTTCACAGAAAACCATCAGCACCCACACACACACACACACACACACACACACAGACATACCCAGCCATCACCCAACCCAAACACCCCTTTAGTTAGACCACCCTCCTGGCTGCTCACATGTCAACGTAAATGCCAGCCTGGGAATGGGTGAGTCAATATTGCCCAAGCTCCATATTCCTGACACCGCCCAGCCCGAGGCTGGGCATGGAAAAGGCACCCAACAGACTTTTGCCAAATGAATGGATGAATAAAGCGAAAGGCACAGAATGAGCCAGAGCTCGGCACCAGCAGGCACACAAGAGAAGACCAGACAGGATGGGTGGGGACAGGAGCTGGGAGCCTGCCGGTGGCAGGCAGTGCAGTGTGTGGTTGGGAACCGGGCTCTGGAACTCGACTGCAAGGGTTCGAGCACTGCAGCTTCCTGGCTGTGTGACCTGGCCTTGGACTCTCTTGGCCTTAGTTTCCCCATCTATGCAATTGGGATGAAAATTTTAAATCCTCCCTCAAAAGGTCTTTGGGAGGATTTCGTGGGATAATACGTGGAAGTTTTCTATGCAGGCCTTGGCACAAGGAAACCGCTGTTTACTCCCCTTACCCATCAGGAGCCTCCTCCCATGGCACCTCCTCTGGGAAGCCCACTCCCCACCTCCCCTTGCTCCCCTGCCATCCGCAGCCCCCTCTCTCTCCCACAGCCCTCATGAGCCCCTCAAGGGATGGCAGATCATTGCTATGTACCCAGCACCCAGAACACAGCCCCAGACCACATAGTTAGGGGGAGTGATTGCAGAATGACTAAACGATCCCCATTTTACATCTGAGTAAATCTGGCCTCCCTGAGGGCCTGAGATCCCCAGAGGAGCTCAGGGGTTCCCAGGTAAATGTGGAAGCCTGGGAGTGGAGTTATTTCCCCTCTTAGAGCCCCACGCGGGCAGGAACATCACCTGGCCGGCTACTTTCCTTCTCAGGGCCCAGTATAGATCCTGGCACACAGTGGGTGCTCACAAATGCTTATCTTACAGGTTGTATTTGAGAGTCTGTTTTTACAGTTAACTCCAATTCTTAAAGGTGAAGGGCGAGGGGAGCCTTGTTAAAAAGCACTTGAAGGGTTTCAGGAAGGAAATTGAAAACAACAAATTATCTACTCTGTGTAATGTAAGTACAGGGAAAGTGAGGGTGTCAGAGAATTAAGAGAATTAAGGATGGGTTAAGAGGATACTAAGCAAATGAAAAAAGCAAAGCAAGTAGTAGCTCCAGGAAGAATAAAGAGTTACACAAGAAAGGAAACGTAAGCAAAATATGTGCCTTGACTTATCAGGGAACGGTCACATAGTCACAAAATAAATAACACTGAAGATTCCCTTACAAATTTGTGACAAATGTAGATTGAAAGGAGGAAGGATGAGCAAAAGCTAAGTCTTCCTTGATGATAATGATAAGAAGAAACAGTTATGACCACTCACTGGGCGATGTGCAATATTTTGGGCACTTTACATCTTGAATACTCAGAACAATCCAATAACCTAAATACTCTTATTACTCTCATTTTACAAATGAGAAAACTGAGGCACAAGGAGGTTAAGTCACTTGTCCGAGGTCATCCGGCCAGTAAGGGGAAGGGCAGGGATCCAAAGCCAGAAAGCCAGTTCACATTGCCTAAAATTAATCAAGAAAACAGCAGGAAAAGCAAGTTATTTTAAAACGTGGAGGAAAGTACCAGAAAAAATAGTTTAAAAAGTTGAAAGTGGTTGCTTTCTGGGAGCAGGGCTGAGAGGGAAGGAGAGGGCAGGGGAATGATTTTTATTAGTGTTATTGAATTTATATATAATAGTTACATATACAGGTCCGTGAAGGGGACAGGAATTGGGGACTAGGCAGAAGGGGCAGGAATTGACAGGGGAGGGACACAGGGGAACTGCTCATGGTGATGGCGCTGTTCTATATCCTGACTGGGGCTAGGGGTGCAGTATGAATTTGTCTAAACTCAGCCAATGGTACCTTTGAGATCTGTGTATTTCACTGTGTGTAAACTTTGCCTCCAGAAAAATAACTGTAAATAAATATTGAACGCTAGCTAATGACATGCATGCTAAAGCTCTTTAAGGGAAGTTTATGGATGTTTGCAACTAACCTTGAAAATCTTTTTAAACAGTAAGTTGTATTAATGGATGCAGAGAGGGATGGGTAGACGGGTAGATTCCTAATAGAGCAAATACAGCAAAATATTAACAATGGTGCATGAATAGGTGGGTACATGCGAATGTTCACTGTGTAATTCTTTAAACTTCTCTTTATATTTGAAATTTTTCTTAATGTTAGAGGAAATATATGAGTGAATTATCTGAAAAATAATATTACATTTTTTAAAACCTGGATGGAGTGTTGTGTCTTGGGCCCGGAGGGACCAGCACGCCTCTGACCTCTAAGCCCTCCCATGTGCGTGTCTATCTGGCTGGAGGGGTAGCTGTTACGGTGCCTCACCTATGTCTCCACCCTACCCTGGGATCCTAGGGTCAGGGACCTAAAGCTGAATTCTCCAGCCCCTCCCTGCTCCCCTGTACACAGGAGGTCACTGCCTTGAGCGCCTCAGTGGCAGAAACATAACCATTTCACCAAGGACAGGAACAGGCCCCTGCAGCTACATTCCATCCTCTGCCAAAAGGGTAAACTGAGGTCGGAGGGAATGCCTTTCCCAGGGCCCATCACACCTTCACGACAGAAGTGAGCAGCCAGGTTGCCTGGCTCCCAAACCCACACGTATATAATTAGCTGGTGGGAAATGGATCAAGGAGCAGATCTCATCTCTGCCTAATTAGGAGCCAGGCAGCTGGGGCCAGGCAGCCCCAGGAGCCAGGGCAGCAGCTGCAGGCCCTCAGAGGGGCTCAAAAGCAGCGGCTGCTGCTCGCTATGGCTCACACTCCAACTGGATGCAGAACAATAGAGGGGCTGTTTCCGCAGATCCCCGAGTTGGCAGAGTGGGAGCTGGCAGGGTAGGAGCAAGAGGGGGAGTGGGGAAAGCCCCCAGCCTGCTCCCTCCACAGATCCCTCCTAAGACCAAGTGGCACCTGTTGGGAAAGTTAGGGCTCATTCTGGCACCTTCCCCACTTCCAAGGTGTCACCCTGCTCTCTTCCCAGCAGACCCACCCAATGCCCTTTTCAGTTGTCCCCTGGCCCGGCTCCTGGGGACAACTCTGGTTCAGGGCAGAAGTCCTTGAATGTACCTACTTTACATTCTATGACTATTTATGTGCTTGCTGTGAAGTTGCCTGTTCTGTCCCCAGACTATGGCAGGTATCTGTCTTACCCACTGCTGGGTCCCTGGTAGGTGCTCAATAATAAAACGACTGGAAGCAAAGGCGAAGAGAGGCGGGGGTGGGGTGATGGGAGAATCAGGGATCTGGAGTGTGCTGACTGGGGGGGGCGGGGTGGCAGGCCAGGGTGTGACCCCAGGCTGTCTTGCAGACCTGCTGTGTGACAGCCCACAAGTCCCTACCCCTCCCTGAGCTCAACATCCTGCTCTGACAATATACCTGACCCTAGAAAAGCCACTTTGAGGATTCAGTGAGAGGATAAGCCCAGCACTGAAACCTCCTTCAGGAACAAGGGGTCACCCACCAGTCCTGTGACCCGAACTTCAGTTTCTTTGTTCAGTTTCTTTACATGTAAAATGCAGTCGATCTACCCACTTTCTTTGGTTGCTGGGGGGCTGTCAGGTCACAGCAAGGGGCAACAACTTGCACAGAATTCCAGCAGGGTTGCCTGTTGGAGCTAGTCTTTGACACCTTCTAGGAGCACCACCTCTGCAGAGCCTGCCTGGATTAGCTCTCTCTCTCTCTCTCTCTCACACACACACACACACACACACACACACACACACGCACACACGCACACACACCATGCCCGGCTTGCTCTGCATTGTCAACATGTCACCGCCCTCCTCACACTTCAGCCTCCCCATCTGTGTCAGCAGGGGTAGACCTCATTCTCGTGAGCTCAAACATCATCCTCTTCTATAATCCAATTTCCCCTTCTTTTCCCAAACTGCCCAGGCCCATCCCAGGCCCCTGGGGGCTAGTTGTGCACAGACCGACAGACAGACAGCTGGGCTGACCTGGATGTTTGTCAACAGCCCAACGGAAATCTCCTCTTTATGCTTAAAATAAAACCTACATCAAACCTGTCACCAGGGCCCCCATTAGAGCTTCCTGTTTCTGAGTGTTGCAGCCAAGGCAGCCAGCAAGAGAGGAAGTACCACCCAGACCCTCCCCACTCCCACCCTGGGGGGCGGGAGAGGCCACCCCAGGCTTTCACCCTTTGTGTGCCCAGCTGGGGCCCTGGTGAGAAGGTGGAAGGAGCTGAGACCTCAAAGCCCAGTGCCAGCCCCTCCCCCTTTCCCCAGCTATTGCAATATAGCAGGAAGGGACCAGATAACAACAGTGCCCCAACCCAAGGAGGGCTGTGCTGCCTAACTCTCCCACTGAGGCCCAGGAGGGAGACTGGCTTGTCCAGGATCACAGAGAGTTGGGAGCAAGGCCATTCACTTTGTGCTGTCCCGCCCAAGTCCCTCTTCCTCCAAGAACTCCCACTTCCCATCTCCACTCCATGGGCTATGTAACCTCAAGTTCAGGGTTTGCCTTCTGCAATCTTCTTTCCCCTTGGGAACTGGGCAGGGGATGGGGGAGGATCCAAGCACCCCAGTCAGTCCTTCCCCTGGAGGTCCCCTTCCTGGTGCAGGGGAAAGATCCAAGTCCTGGTCCCAGCTTTACCCCAACTCACTCTGTGGCTGCTTCCTCCTCTATGAAGGAGGCCTGCCAGCCTCTCAGGGGAGTTAGGAGGACACCCTCCCCCTGTGGGGCCTGTCTCAGGCCAGGCCAGTTGCTGACCTCATGCCCCACCAGATCCTGGGGTAAAAAGTTACTAACTTCTGAAGGCCACACCCCAAGACTTCTCACACTCCTTCCCCTGTGAACAAGAAGAGTCTGAAGGCCCAGCCCTTGAGAAACAAGCATTTGTGTTTATTAACCAAGAGAAAGGAAGTCAGAGCAGTGAAGACTCCTAACCAGTCCCTCCTGTAGTCTACCTACCTAGGCCAGCTGCCAAGGACAAGGAAAAACAGTAGATAAGCCCCCTCCTCCCTGCCCCCACCCCAGGGTACATTCCTGGGAACCAGGACCCAATGGGTAAGGAAGAGGAAGTCAGCAAAGTACAGAGGATAAGGAAGGAAAGAGGAAACAGAGCCACTGGCAAGACAGGCTTGGTGAGATTCGTTGGCCCCTCACTGTGGGTGGGGAAGGTGAAGCACCCCAAATGCAGCCCCGCAAGAGGAGCCAAGCAGGGGTACACTCATGTCAAAAACCTTGTATGTGGGGGTGGGGGTGGGCTCCAAAGTCAAGAGCAACTCTCTCCAGGGTCAGTCCTTGCCAGAGGATGCTGGTCCAGCCTCTAAGCCTCTGCCTCTACACCAGGTTCACAAAGGGAACAGCCTGTCTGCCCAGATCCAGGGAATGGATGCAAGAGAGGTCACCGGGCGACTGCCTCTCTAAGATCTGTCCTGCGGTGAATTCCAAGTTCAGCGAAGGCCTAGCCCTCAGCGGCTGGGGTCTCCCGTGCCTGCCGTAACCCATACAGCCACTTAATCACGCGGGCGTTGCGCTCTACCACCGACACGCCGTAGGGGACTCGCTCCCGGGCCCGCTCCTCAACAGTAGCGGAGCTGCGGCGGGAGCATCCTCCCTCCGAGCTGCCCGGCCCAGCACTGGGCCCGGCCAGGGACACGATGTCCGAGCTGGCCCGTGCCAGGTGGGCCACACCCAATCCCCGTGCCTCCTCTGGGTCCAGGCCGCAGAAGTTAAAAAAGCGCTCAAGGTCAGCTGCTGCCCTAGAGAAGCGCTCGCTCAAGTCTGACTTGGAGCGTTGCAAACCCGATGGCCGGGCCGGGCTGGAGGCGGCAGCAGCGCCCGGTGACGGGCAGGGCCGGGCAGGTGAGGCAGGCAGGGGGCGGACGTCCACTCGGCGGACCGCAGCCGTAGTAGGCGGCGGGCGAGGAGGGGTGGCTGGGGGTGCCTGGCGAGCTCCCTCTGCCCGTCCAGGAGTACGGCTGGCCTCGGCAGGGGACACGGGACTATCACACAAGTTGATGAGGCTGTTAAGAATGTCCAGGTCCAGCTGGGGCCGGCGGCCGGGGCCAGGCAGGGCTCGGCGGCTGGGCGTGAGCACTGTGCGGCGAGTCCCAGGGCTAAAGAGTGGCTGTTTGGACAGCAGGGGCTGCACGGGTTCCTGGCGGGTGTTAGCCACATGTAGGCTCTTGACGTACTTGGCCTTGTCGGCCTCCAGGCGCTCCACAGCACTCGGTTTCCGGGCTCCGCCGTCCGCTGGCCTCCGTAGCAGGTAGCCGGGGACCTTGGTGCGCAGGCGGAAAGGTAGGGCGGGGGCGGCGGCGGCTCCCGGGCTCAGCGTGTCCACAGGCATGGCTGTTACATACCTCGAGGGCTTCGGTCTGAGGAGACCGGGAAAATGAGGAGACAGAGGTCCAGGCAGAAAGTTGGCAGCTGGACGCCCGCAACGGCTGCAGTGAAGGAAAGAAAAGGAGCGGCTGAGCGCGCTCAGACAAAGGCTCCGCCAGGGCCGAGCGAGGCGAAGACGCCTTCCCCATTATAAGGTAGAAGCCACGCCCCTGTTTCACTGAGAGCCAATCAGCAGGAGAAAGCCGTAGCCGAAGGGCCCCGGCCCCACCCACACCCCTCCCTCCTTCCCCGGGGACCAGCCCAGCTGAGGCAGAAAGAGAGAAGTGCTAGAGAAGAAAGACCTGGGCGGCCTCAACAGAAAAGAGCAAAAAAAAAGGGGGGGAGCAAAGCAGGCTCCAGGCTCTGTGCTGGACACCAGCCATCTCAACCTGTCCTCTCAACGGCCCCATTTTTCAGATGGGGAAACTGAAACCCAGAGAGGACACCAACTCGCTTAAGCTGCCCCAGCAAGTGACCCAGCATCTGCCCCTTACTTCCGAGCAGGGAGGTGCTGGCACAGGGGTATTAGAGTTAGGTGACCAAGAGAAAGGGCTCGAACCCCACACCCCACCTGGATTGCCCACAGGAGCCTGGTACCACCTCCACCCTCACCCACCCAGGCAGGAAGCTGTGCTGGGCCATCCACCCGCCTAGACACGCCAGGCCCCAGGCACAGGAGCAGAGCTTGTAAGGGAGGAGCAGAGAAAATCCCCACCTCCGCTCCAGTGGAGTCTGGACACCCGTCAGCTTCAGTATGGACCTGGATGGCCCGCAGTGATGGACAGATGCCTGTTAGGTGGAAACGTAAGCCCTGAGCTATGCTCTTCCGAGAGAAGCCGGAAATGCCCAAGATCACACAGCTCTGCATGGAGGCATCCAGCAGACTCCTGATCTGCCAGCAGCCATGGGATGGGCACTCATAGGCAAGAGGGCTCTGCCTGGGTGCACAAGCATCCACATGGCTGCCCAAGTGTCAAGGCCTGATGCCAGGCATCAGGCCAACCCTGTCCCTGTTTCCAAGGAAGGGCTGGGGCCACAAAGAGCCATCCCCACCCCCAGGCTCCTTGGAGATGGAAACCTTATCATTTGTAAAATGTTCCAAATATTCTCATCTGTAAAATGGAAGGAAGGGGGTACTTAGTCTAGGTATTCCCCAAGAGGACTTGCAGTTCAAGCCACCTAGACCTGTGCTGTCCAATTCAATGGCCACTATCCACATGTGGCTATTCAACCTTAACATTAAATTTAAATTAAATAAACACTCAAAATTCAGTTCCTGAATCACATGAGCCACATTTCAAGTTCTCAACAGCTACATCTGGCCAGTGGTCACTGTACTAGACAGCACAGAATAGAGCATTTCCATCCAGGGCAGAAAGCTATATTGGACAACCCCATCTAGACATCCAGGAATCCAGGAAGGAGTGAGTCTGGATTGGGGTGGGCAAGCAGGGATCCCTACTCTATGCCACACATTTGATACCATCCTCTCCTATGGGTCATTGTTACCTCATTTTGCAGATGGAGAAACTGAGACTCAGAGAAGTGCTGCCCCAAGTCCCAGAGTAGATAAATAAGGCACAAATTCATATGAATCCTGCTCCGATCACACTAATTTCAATACTGCCTCCTGTTTCTCCACACAGCACTACTGATCCCACCTCCCATTTCTTTTTTCCTTATCACCTGTTCAAGTACCATATAAGTCATTCTATTATGTTTATGGTTGTTATACTCTTTGTTGGCCCCTATCCTCCTAAAATGTCAGCTCCATGAGGGCAGGGAGTTTTGTCGGTTTTGTTCACTGTATCTCAGTTTCAAGATATTGCTCTTGACACATAGTAGGTATTCAATAAATATGTACTGAACTGAAATGCCTAAGGGAGCCAGATGTGAACCAGCAGACCGGGGATGAACTAGAGACAGGCACGCCCAGCCCACTGCAGGCATATGCATCCAAGGTGGTAGGTGTACTGTTCTAGGAAGGTGGAAATCCAAAAGTGCATGAAAACTCTAGATTCTATTCTAGAGCATATTCAATAATAATTTTTAAAACATTGCAAGTACTGGGCAAACAAAATATGTCTGCAAACACATCTGCCCCCTCTTCCTCCATCTGGACCCCCAACCACCACCTTGAGAACTCTGCAGCAATGGTGAGCTGGGAATAGAACTTTGGGGGCTGTTGGCCCAGAGCCAGGGCTGCTCCCAGGTAGAAGGGATGGAGTAGATGGGCCTGGGACAGGAAGGCTCCACCCCCAGGAGACCTCAGGGGGCAAGGGTCTGACAGGAAGGGTGGCCTCACAGAGCCCTGCAGAGGCAGCCAGACTCTGCCCCACCCCCGGGCTGCCACCTCCCAAACCAGTCCAACTCGTTGGCGGTGGCGGTTCCCTCCCGGGCACCATCAGGGAAAGAGGGAGGAAGGAGGTCAGACAGGCAGGGCCAGGGCAGAAGCCCCAAACACAGCCCTGCTCGGTTCCCCCGTCCCCGTGGCCTGATTAGCTGTCCCCAGGGTCCCCACGAGAGGGGCCTGGACAGATGTGAGGGCCAAGCCCAGCTTTGGGGCTGCTGGCCCGCCAGCCTCTAGTTCGCCCACCCGCACGCTGTGTGCCTTGCGCAAGCAGCTGCGCCTCTTAACAGACTCGGTTTCCTTATCTGTGAAATGCGATTAAAAATAGACCTTCCTGAGCCTCCAGGTCACAGTAAGGATGGCGAGATCAAACAGGTCGAGGACCTTCCCCAGCACCCGACTAAAAGGCGGCGCTCCGTGAACCAGACTTCCTGTCTTTATTATGACTGACCAACCGAGTCCGCAGACCGTCCCTCATGCGGGGGTCTCTAAGCACGCTCCAGAAGGGTCTGTCCCAGCCCGAGCCGCGGACAAAGGAGGCACATGATGGAGGCTAACCGGTGAGCTGACCTGAGCAGCCCCATGTCACAGTTAGGCAAACGGAGGTGCAGAGGCTTCTGCGAGGTGAAGTCAGGGGTCCCAGTCTCCAGATGGGACTCAGTGCCCCCTCTGAGGCCTCCTCTCACCGCCCAACGCCCCACCCGCGGATTCAAACGCTGCCGGGGAATGCCCCAAACGCGCCGGCCCGGCCCTTTTCCTTAGCATCCCCGGCCCGCAGCCCGTCCTTACTCCTCCCCACCGGCTCGCCCGGCGTCAGCCTCAGGAGCCGCGGAAGGGAGTGGGGGCCACTCCGATCCCCCGTCTGGCTTCTGCTCTCTCTCACTGCGGGGTAATCTTGGGGACTCCCGGAGACGGAGGGGCCCCGAGCGGGGCGGCGCTGTGTGACACCCGCCTCCCACCGCCCCTCTCTGAGCCCGCGCTGGCCTGGCTCTCAAATGGGGGCGCCGATGGCACGATCCCTGCGGTCCCGTTTAGGCCCAGAGGTGAATCTCTGCCCCGTCCCCGCCATCCCGGGGAGGGAGGGGTGCCCGGGCTGGCCCCTACCCCAGTGGGCGCCCCCGCCCCCGCCAGCACGTACCTGGCTGTGCCCGCGCAGCCGCCGCTGACCCGCGTTCCTCCGGCTCGGCGCACCTGGGGCTCAGGTAACCTGCGTTTGCGCAACTTCCGGCGGCCGCGGGCAGGTGAACCCGCCGGCCCAGGTATCACTCGAAAGGGGGAAGGTAAGCCAGGCAGGGGCCAGAATCCGAGCCCCGGCGCGCCGGCGGCCGGGTCCCATCCGCTCCGGGCCCACCCCGCGAAGCTCTTCCGGGAGCCGGGACCCTCTGGCGCATCGTCCCGGCGGCCGGTTCGGGCAAGCGCGCCCATCTTTGAGGTGGAAAAACTGATTCCGCCCCCCCCTCGACTGTCACAACGACCGCCAGTTACTGTTCACTGTGCCGGACATGAGAAAGCGCTTGTCTTGGATTAACCCATTTTAATCTTCCCAACAATGCCTATGAAGTGAGCTCTATCGCTGTCCCCTTTCACTAATGGAAAACTGAGGCTGGGATGGGCTGCATCCCCAGCCCAAAGTCACCCTGGGAAGTCCAGCCTAGGCAACCTCCTCCAGGCCCTGATTTTACCAGAGTGGGGGCTATAAGACTATCATCCTCCACAGTGGCCCACTGTGGTCCTGTCTGGCCCTCCACTGAGGCAAAAATGGGGGGTGCGGAGAGAAAGCTCCTTCAGGCACTAAGAGTAGTAACAGCAAAGCAACAATAACAATTTTCATAATAAAATAAGAAAGAACTAACCTCTTCTGAGTACTTTCTTTGTACCAGACACTATTCTAAGCTCTTTATACATGTTAACTGGCTTAATTCCCACACTTACCTGTGAGGTAGGTACTGCTATTATGCCCATTTTACAGATGAGAAAACTAAGGCTCAGAGAGGTAAAGACACTTGCCTGAGGTCACACAGCTGGTGAATGACAGAGCCGTGATTTGAACCCAGGCTCAAGTCTGGGGAGCGGGAAGAAGCAGTGTTTTTAGTGGTGGGCTTTGGCCACTCACCAGATGAGCCACCAAGGGAACTTTTAAAGAATCTACATCCTCCTTGTCTAGGCCCCAGAGGGAGAAGTCACCAAAGGAAATATTCCCTGGATATGGTTCTGGGTCTCAGTTTCCTCGGCTGTAAAATGGGGGCAATAATGGCAATGTTTTCCCAACAGAAATCCGATCTCATCAGTGCTGTGTTTAAACCCTCCTGTGGCTCCCTTAGAATAAAATCCAAACTCCCCACGTGGCCCTCAGCCCTCCAGAACCCAGGCCTTGCCCTACTCTCCCACCTCATCTCCAACCTCTTTCCAGCTCCAGCCACAAAGCCCTCCCTTGAGGGCTGTTCCTGAACACACCAAGGTCTTTTCTGCCTCAGGGCCTTTGCACCAGTCATTCTCTGCCTCGAACTCTTTCCCTTGCCTCCTTCAGATCTTACCTCAAATGTCATCTTCTCCGAGAGGCCTCTCTGATCACCCTGAGAAGCTCCCACCAACTCTCCCACCCATTTTGTTCCTTTCCAGGTATTCATCACATCGTGCCATTTTAGATATTCACTTATCTATCGCTCGTTTCCTATCTCCCGCTGGACTGGGAGCTCCATCACCCCCTGACACATTTTATTCCTCCAGGGACCAAACACAAGAGGAAATACTATTGACCAAGTGGCCAGACTGGAACCCAGTCCAAAGGCCAAGGCCACTTATCAAAATGTATACATTCAATACACACAGCTTTTTTGTATGTCGATCATACCTCCATAAAAAAGAAACAAGTTAAACATATCTGTCTGGACTAACACAGAAGTGATGTTGTGTCCTTCTCAGTGCATCACAGCAGGAGGCATTTGATGACAGTTTGTCCTAACCTTAGTGATCAGCCAATTTGTTGGTTAGGGTAGTAGCTGCCAGATTTCTCCACTGTATAGTTATTATTAATATTTTTCCTTTGTTATGAATAAATATCTTGTAGGAAGAAGAAAAGAGGCCAAGGTCTCTGGCACCAAGCCTCGCCGCCGATCCCCAGCGCTGCTCCTGGACTTTCTGGACCTGCCTCACTCTTCCTCCAACCTTGAGTCACCCCCATTCAAGCTGGGCTCTGGCTACTTCTAGCCAAGCCCTGTTCTTTCTTCAAAGATACCATGTCCAAATCTCTGCACATGCTGGCTCTGCTGCCTGCAGTGCCTTTTCCCACTCTACCCCGCTGGCCACCTCTGTACGGTATAGCGTGGACTCCAGAACCTGTCGAAATCCCAGCTCCACCAGATTAGCTAGGAGACTTTAGGTAAGATACTCAACTTCTCCATGTC